TGGAATAAATGGTACATTTTTCCTGGGGTTTTTGCTCCATTTCTTTCTTTTCTTTCCATGTATTTTTCCTTCTCTTGTCCTCCCAGCCTCCCGCACGCTGTCCCGTGCTGGCTATCTTATGAACCTCTTTTGCAAACGGTGAACTATTAGTTCTGAGAGCAAAGCTCAGCGATCACAGATGTAGGCAACATAACTTCAGCTGATATATCAAGAAAATCCTCTCCATAGTTTTGCTGAAAAGCTTTGTTTCCATACTTTAGAATAAATGAATTGGGAGAGTTCCACTATCTTCTTTCTGAGAGTCAAAAAATCTACAGGGAAATAAGACGGCCTTCTTTACTCCAACACTGATAAAAATGGCCAAAGAAAACTGATTCAGAAAGCCCTTCGGTTCTTGATTCATTCCTATTGGCTTAACGTCAACTTTCCTGTCTCTCCGGAGTCCCAGATTTGAGTTATTAGATCGCTGGAAATGCAGACAAATACAAATCATGACCAGAGATTTTAGAAGAAGTGCCCACCTCAGCCTCACAGATTTTCCAGGCAGATTATTCAGCAATTTAATGAGTATCTTATCTTATCTTATCTTATCTTATCTTATCTTATCTTATCTTATCTTATCTTATCTTATCTTATCTTATCTTATCTTATCTTATCTTATCTTATCTTATCTTATCTTATCTTATCTTATCTTATCTTATCTTATCTTATCTTATCTTATCTTATCTTATCTTATCTTATCTTATCTTCTGTTTCTAGCCTAATCATGCCTCTAATTATAAACTGGTCAGTTTTGAAAGCAAGGAATTGAGAAAATATCAGAAAAGAGATTTCTTGCCAACCGCACGTGGACAAAACGGACAGGGGTTTGTCATCTCATGACAGTGTTACACTCATACCCCTGGCTTGTCTCCTGACCCTCTTCTGCTTTTGGCTTTTTTATCTTTTCCACTCTTCTTTCTCCTGAAGTGTGAGACCTTCTGCCCAGGCTCAAACAGCACAGTTGTGGAGCTGGGGCTTGTACTTTTCGGGGCGCCATTAAGTTATTTGCCTATCCTGGTGTTTGGGATTTTTTTGCTTTCTGGAACACCTCTCCCCACCCCCCGGTTTCAGCAGGACTCCCTTCCCAGGCGGCAGTGAGAGGGGCAGAGCGGGTGCAATCCTTTCCCACCCTGCAAACCCTCCGGCAGCCCCCCTGCCCCTGCTCGGACTGACACCTCTCGCTCTCGGGCACACAGCACGAGCCAAGCGTTTGTTTTAACAGCACACACAGGCAAGGCAGTAACAGGAAAAGAATAGAGAATTCAAAAGTAGCGAAGTACATTCCCTTTTTCCCTCCTTATCCCCTTCATGTCTGTTGTACTGGAGTTTTGCTTGTTTGCTTGCCTGTTTATTTCTGCTGGGAAACAGATACAGGGCTCTGGGACCAGGACCCTGTGGCCACCGGCAAGTGTTTCACAGCTGCTGCGTTTCACGAGATCCCTTTACGATCGCCTTGGCTGCAGAACCAGCACAGGCTGTTTGCTTTCCCTCCCTCTGTTTGCTTTCATTGGCTGGAACTGGCCCTTTTCCAGTTCCTTCCTTTTCTGGGATGCCAGTTAATGCTGGTTAACACCAATAACATCAATGCCTCGGCTTTTCAGCCACAATTGTGAAAACAGATTCTTGCACCTGCTGAGCTGTGGTTTTTCACTATCAGCTGGCTATCGATGACGCCGCAAAACATCCCTCATACCAATGCCATTCCAAGCAGCAGACCTCAGGTTAAAATATTTCACATTTTTACTTATGGGGAAATTTTTCCCCAAGACCTTATGTACAGAAAGATTTATCACCCTGATACAGTGTTTTTGGCATGGGGTGTAACTTAGGGAGCAGGTCAAAGCCCAGGAAGTTCCCTGGTACCTCTGCAGACAACACAGCTCAGCACGGCAAGGGTGCACTGCCCTCTGGGTAGCCCAGACCCAAGTCCTCAGAATAACAACGTCTTCCTTTATTTTTTGTCTGGCCATTATGCTTTGTGCTGTCTACTGGCTGCTTTACCATGCATGAAAGCTAGGCACCTCCTGAGGTTACCACAGGGGGCAAAGTTAAGCCATTGCTGTGTTGCAGCTGGCATAGATACTGTGAAATAAAGGCAGAACTAGGAAGGAAAAATGGGTTATTTGGCCTTTATTTTCAGGAGATTAGTCTGCTGGATTTCTGAGTAAACAAGTAGGTAAATGTTTTAAAATCAGGCTGGGCTCTGGCTTCTGAGGGGAATGTAGGTAGCACTGAACTCCAGGTTTAAACATAGTTAAAAGAAATCCCACTGTTTGTCAAAAAAAATTTTTTTTTTCTATTAAACAAAGAAGAATGGAATTCACTGGTGTATTCGGTTAACATTCATCACTTAAAATCTGTTCATCACAAGATTTGGGAACTTGGTGAAAAGCAGCCTTTACTTTTTATTACTTACTCCTGAGGGTAGTATGCTTCTTGTTCAGGGGAAGGATGCAGTTCCTGACAAGCTTTTAAGTTCTCCCAAAGTATATAGGTGCCAGCAGCTATACGTAATCAGTATATTTAGTTGAAGGACTACATTTAGAGGGAAGGTTTTGAACAGAAAGGGCTGCAGTTGCATTACACCTCTCACTTCTGTCAAAATTAGTAGTACCCTATAGCTGATGAGTCCAATTCAGCTCGCAGCTGAAGAAGGACACTCTACAAGTGTGATGGGAGTGGAGATGCCTGCCCAGGCTGTCTTCATAGAGATCTGCAGAATCAGTTTTGGGTGGAACTGGAGGAATGAGGGGACAAAGGCAGGCTGCAGAAGTTCTTCACAAATGCAAGACGGAGTGATGGATACTTCCACTCCCACCAATGCTGTGCTGCAAGCTTGTCTTGATAATTTCACACAGCAGTCCCTATTTCAGCAAAGCAGCCTCCTGTCAGGGGGATGGCAAAAGCTAATAGTAAAATTAAGTAGTCAATTCTTGCATACCTGATTACCTAAGGATGGGACAGATTTTCTCTGTGAAACCTTCTGTAACTCCACATGTACAAACTTAAAAATTGAGAATATCTGAATAACCCTGGCGCAAAGAGAGCATGCGATGGGGCAAGCCCATCATCTGTTCAGACTGTTCAGGATGCCTCACTTCCCACTGGGCATTCTCCCGTAAAAACGTCCTCCCTTTCTGCCAGACCTTGCCAGGAGCCTGGAGAGCCTCTCATCAATTCTCTGTGAAGCTGAACCTGCCCTTCAATTGAACGCTGAACTGAACTCTCTTTTTATCTCGTCTCCTCAGCCGGCAATGGGGATCACTGCCTCGGGGCCAGCCCTCCCCAGGCAGCAGCTCTGGGCAGGAGGAATCAACCCCAGAGCATCCTCCAGGGCCACACGTTTGGGAGGATGGCTTTGCTCCCTGGCGAGCTGCCGCGGGTGTCCCAGCAGTTCTCTGACTTCTCCAGGACCATTACATAGAAAGGCATTTGGGAGGTGGGAACAAGTGTGTAGCTATGGAGTTAGCTGAGTTTCCAGAGAGCCGGCACTTGAGCAGAGCTGTGGGTTATATGAGGTGTGGGCTGTTAAAGGAGGTCGGTTACACACCACATTATAACAGAGGAATCTTGTCACGGCTGAGTTTAATCTTTGAAAAGATTTCCTCTCCTTCCCCAGCCTAAACAGTTTCTCATTTTTTCCCAAAACACCAGAATAATATCTTTAAAAGTTGATACTACTTTTTGCACATACCCCATGAGGAAACGACACCTCTCTGGATGTGGCAAGAAATTGTTAACAGCCCTGATAGTGTCCCGTACTGCCTGACAGGTGGACATTTTACATGGAAAATATGTTACACACGAGAGCAGAGCTAGTCTGACTCATTTAACTCCATGCCAAAGGCACTGCCACAACTAAGCTCCTCGCTGGAACTAGTGCCCCCGTGGTATCCCCGACGCTCCAGCTTCTGAAGCTGACAGTGATGCAGCTGTCAGTCAGGGCAGTTGCAGTGTCTTTTGTCAAATTTTCTTGTTAAGAAAACACCAATAAAGGGTGCATCATGCCTGCTCTACGTAAGGAAAAAAATGTTTAAGAATTCTTCCTGGAAGTATTGCAAAAGCTACCAACTTTCCACCTCTGCCTGCCCTCCCACGCTATCTGCAGGCATTAGTGTATTAAAACAAAAACAACCAAGACAAAACAGCAAGTAATGAAAGAGAAAAAGAGCACAAACGAGAAGCCTGCAGCACTGCCAAATTATACAACAGCAATTCCCACTGGGGATAGCTCGGACAACTTGCCTCACTGAGGCCAGTGGGTCCGCTGAGAGCACTCGGAGGCTCCCGCACCAGGACCAGGACCAGGACCAGGACCAGGACCAGGACGGGGCAGGCAGCCCCTGTAGGCAGCTCGCTTGCACCCGCTGTAGCCTTCCCTGCTGCTGCGGTCTAGCCTCTGGCCACTGCTTCCACTGAAGCTAGTAGGGATGGAGTGACTCCTAGCAGCTCTCAAAATCAAGCCTTTGTCTCAATATAACTGAGACAGTCTCAGTTTTCCCACAAGTAATTGTCATGGGAGAGAGGGTGGCTTCCCTTTCATTTGCTTGGAAAATAGCACGTGCATCTATGCCGTGAAAAATCCTGACTCCTACTGTCACAGAGTGCAAAGGGCTGCCATGGCTTTTTTTCCTCTCTGCTATTTCTCACCACAACTTGGTCACAATTTACAAGAACGAAGCGATGCCGCGTGTGTGTGTGCTTGGTGCCCTAACTTTAGCTGACACAGCAAACACTCCAAATCCTCCCTTTCCGTGCACCTTCTCTGTTAAAAACCTGTGCGGATGAACACGAGAGAGAGGAGGGAAAGAGAGAGAAAGACCCTTTAAGTTAATGGGTAAGGAATGTGCATTGAGCTGTGCGTGGACTTCTGATGTCTCCAACTATTTGTTAAAAGGCAAAAGCAATACTTCCGACAGACGGCCCTCCCCTCGCCTGCAATAGGCTCCCAAGAATAGCAACAGCCTGTGTCACTGCAAAGGGCAAAGCCTTCTGAAATAGCAACAAAGTTGTTCACAAACCACTTTGTGGTTTGCATTTGGTTTCAGCCAGCTTCAGCAACTTGTTGCCATGAGGAAAATAACCTGCGCTTTCCTCGCCGGCCGGGGAAGGACCGCTGCCCTGTGAAGTGCTCCTGCCCCAAGGTGCAAAGAGGGTGGCAATGGTACCTGGGCAGAGCACGGAGGACCTCGGCCAGCAGAGCCAGACGATGAGAGCAGGGGAGGATGAGGAGAGCAGCCGGGGCAGCCGCCGCAGCAGCCGCCGCCACCTCCGCAAGCTCCCGGCTGCAGCAGGTAAAGCGGCAGGAGCTGAATGCCAGCTGTTAGCCAGCAGCAGCGTGCCCGTGTAGCTAATGCTCAGGGCTGGGGGAAAACAGCCCCGCAAAGCCAAGGGACTCTCGGGGCATGCTGTCTCGATGTCTAAAAGTGCGAGAGGGGAAAATGTGAGAAAGGAAGGGAAATGCCGGCTTGAATTTTGAATGAAGGTTTATGTGATACTTTTCCCAAAAGGCCTCGGTCCTACCGTTCGTGCATGTGCTGTCTGTTGTGTAAATCCCTTTCCTTTATGACAATCAGTCACCTGAAAAATCGGAGAACCCGCTGACATCTAAGATAACAACGGTGCTCCGGTCCTTGCACGCTCGGGAGCAATTCAGCCCTTTTCACTGAAGTGGAGGGAGGCCAGGCAAGCATTGCACCTGCTCATGCAGGGGGAAAGTACAGGGTGGGGGGACAGGGACTCCCTCCTGTTTTTTGTCCCCTAGCATTTCATGAAGAAACAGGGTTTCTGTGCTGACACCCTGAAAAATCAACTGTATAATTTCTTATGCAAAGATATTTGAGTGCTGAAGCTGAATTTCGTAGCTCCTCACTTTTGCTGTCCTACCCAGCCAGTTTTTCTAAGATACAGCATGGTTTTGCATCTTGAGTCTCTTTCACTGATGATAAGATCAAGGGGAAAATGACCCACGATTGTGACATTTCTCACCCACAAGACAGCTTTACCCACACAGGAAAACATGATTGTAAGCCAGAAATGACTATGTCCTGAGCAGGTTTTGTTCACTTATAAATGAATGAACTGACTAACCCATGTATGTTCAGATACCACAGGCACAAATGCTTTGTTGGAGTGTAATAGTGATCAGTCCAGCAACATCTACTGATACCTGGAAGCAGAGGAAGCAGAGGTTAATCAGGAACAGAAAGCCAGTTGGTGTGCAGACATATTTAACATTACCTTAGGGTATGGGGGGAGCAATGCAGATGGTTATAGGATAGCGTTATCAAAGGGAAGCACTGCTGTTACAATAAACAGACAGCAAAGTTACTGCAGCACAAGGGCTACGGTTAGAAGAGTATGCGCAAATTACACACTTGGCCATACCCTCAGAAATTGAAGGAGTAACCTGAGGAATTTATAATTACCTAGCTAGGAATTAAAAGAACTTGTTGATTCTTACTGGAAAATAACAAAACAAAATCCAAATCCCATTTAATGTAATGGAGGGCCAGGCTGCCTGTTGACATAATGAAAATGCATGGCAGAGCACTAAGAGGGATGGAGAGATGGCCAGGGTGGGTCTGCCCAGGATCTGCGTTCCCTGTCTTTCCATCAGTCCCGGGGGGCTTTTGTTCATGAAATTTGAGTATTACTCACACAATACATTCACTGGGCTTACGCTGTACAAAGTATACAATGCTTCCCACCATCGCAGGAATTTAGATGTGTGAAAATGTGTGATACATTAGCTTCCTTCTGCCTTCTTTTTTAGTTCTATTTACAAAATATTTGTTTTGGTTTTGCCTTTCACACTTGGCTGGGAGGAGTCACATTTGTCAAATGGTCATGATCCCACATGGCCCTGACACTATTTTTGGGTAAATCTAATATTTTCTGAGATTTTCCAGCTCTGCTTGCAACATAACTTTGTCTCAAAGCCACCATTTGTTTCATCCCATAGGGTCTTGTTGGGTAACCGTTTTAGATCCCATGCCAGACTTCTAGATGGACAGTTAGATCAGATGTATCCTTGCTAATAGGAGAAATGCACATATTGAGCAGCTACTGGATGTAAAGAAACCTCGGGCATTAGAATAGATCAACAGGGTAACATGTATCTCTTTACACCGGACAACTGGATGAGACAGAGAAGATGACTGTGACAGTGCAGCAAAGATAATGATGGCATAAAAATGGGATAATCACCTTTTATGAGAAGCAAAACCATGATTTAATTACGCAGCAATTCCCAACACATGCCATTAAATATTTATCCTACAAAACCTTGTGATCTACACACTATACACTTTACCAAAATGCTCCTCTAAAGACAATTTGGGGAATTTTAAACACTATTTCCCTGTAAATGCAAACTTTTTGTATGTCAGACAGCACTCAGATGGAGAAGAAATATGTTGTTAAAGATAGCTTAAAATTTTCAGATACAGATGCTCTAGTTTTAAGATTTATCATGGATAAAAGTAGATGCCTTGTTCTATTGAAAAAGGAAGATTCCATGCTGTGGATTCGTATCTATGCAATGCACTCAACTCATCACGATATTCTAACCTGTGCTTATTAACCAGGGGTTGACAGAGCTTGATTTCACCTTCCAAATGTCTAAATAGATCAAAGAATCTCCAAGGATTTAAAGAACATATATTTGACCTTCCAGTAAAATACTTTCCTTCCCTCCCAAAATGAGACATTTCTCACCTCAGATTAAATCAAAGTCAACAGAAGAAAGCACCATGTTGGAAGAGACTGTTGAGTGCCCTCCTATCAAAATAGATGGTATTTGCACAGGTCACAAAGAAGTAATCTCCGCCCCCATCCCACTAGTTTTCTGTACGCACACTTCATGTTCTCTTGGGAAAAAGGAAAGAAATCTACATCACAAAAGTCTCAGTATCTGAGTAATGTGGAGTGTGGTACTGCCAAGGTGAGCTGGAAAAGGCTCCCAGGCACCTTCTCCGTAGCTCTCCTGCACATGAAGGGGGGGAAGAGTGGTGTTTCCCAGCTCAGCCTGCTTGCAGATCTTCCCTGGCACAGATCATTTATCCGTAATGCCCATAAAATAGATGCAACAGACCAAATATTTTGCCTTTGGAAGGACTGTATTTTCCCAAATATGTGCTTGAAAATAAGTAAAGGGGCACACCCTTACTACTTGATCCAGTCTCATCAGCAGTACACTGTGCTATACTACAGCTGTGCTTGGTGTCCTTTTCAGGAACCGAGCATAAACATTTCCAGCAAATGTTCTTAAAGATAAGTTCGTTTGCCAAGTAGTGCTGCTTTTGACCTGAGTAACAGTTGTGAGAAACCATTTTGTTTACATGGGGAAACTAGAGAATAGACTTTCCAATCACTTGTCACATACCAGCCACACACTCGTTAGCCATGGTGTTTGTTGCAGGCAGAAGGAGAAATTGCTCTGGAAGCCATCATTAAAATATTTTATTCCCCTGGGCTGCACACTGCCATGTATTTTGCAGGCATCTCATAAAAATAAGAGGAATATACATTTTAAGAAGCTTTTTTTTAAAAAAAGGAATGCCTAAGAACTGCCAGCAACATCATTAAAAGTGACACTTAAAAGGATTGTGAGTACAACTACTGCAACATGCTTGATCTGGAAATGTTAAAGCAAAACATATGCTGAAGTCAGAGGGAATTTTGTCTGGAGGAAGACCATGAAGGAAAACCAAGCAGAGATTTCAGGGTTTAACTCATCAGGCAGTTCTGAGCAGGCGAGTCTTACATACACCAGTTACAACAAAACCTCATAGTGATATAAGGATGTTTCTCAGCAGAATAGTGCCTGGGGACAAGAGACACCGAGTTAACTGCTGAGTTTGCTGCTGCTAATGCAGAAAGACAACGTGTCTCCCTCTGCATCACATCAGAATCTGCTTTTCATTCAGGGGTCTGCTTTAGTTACAGCCCTTTGCTATTTCTATATGACTGTGGGTGTTGTGTCACTGGACGCATGAACAAGGATACCAGTTGACCCAGTAAAAACAAACCAAAGAAACATTAAGACATTGGTCAAGCTGCTGTACTTGGAGCAGCAAGAAACATATGGGCTTGAGTGCTTCCCTACCAACTTCCCAGGTGTCCAAGCTCCAGTTTGTACAGCCTCTCGAATTAAAAATAAATAATCACCTCGGTTGCTCTGATCTGAGGACCACAGGCTGAGGGGAACACAGTCTGGATTGTAAAGAACAGTGCTGATGGTGCACTCCATCAAGATATTTGACTTGGCACTGTCATTTTGAATCAGAAACTGGAACCATACAAAACTGGTGGTTGCACATTTAAAGAATTAAAAGCCATGCAGGACACAGATCTCAAAGTATCAATAGGAGACACTGCCCACATTGCTGTGTTTCTGCTGGAGAGCCTTAAACTCGGCTTTTGTCCCTCTGTCACTCAGCATTTTTTCTCAACTGCCTGGAATAAGATAATAATGGATTATTTGCGGGTGATAGAGGTGACGGGTGATTAATAAATGGGATATGTTACTGGCTGAATGCAATTCGGATGGTTTGGCCTGCTGACTGTGAGTGAATGTGCTGTCTGGGGTTCCTCTCTGCTAATTTTAGACATCTGCATCTAAGCAAGCCACACAGATTCCTTTTATAGGCAATGGAAAGAAATAGGCATCTGACCTACTTCAGACATTTAGAAGTGCCTATTTTTTGCAAGTGGTTACAGAAGAAATCTAGAGATGCTGTAGATCTCTCACAGTTAGGTAAGTTGAACCCATCCTATGTGTTTTAATACAGACAAACATAAAGCTAGCATTCCTAGCTAGGATGCAAGAAGACAGGCCATATTTAAAGGAAAGGCAGTGCCTTGGAAAGAACCCAGTCAGAAAAGAAGTTGGTTGTCCTGGAGGATAACCAGCAGAAGATGAGCTCCTGTACACAGCTGTGACAATCCTTAGATGAGTAGAGGGGGAAATGTCCACCGGGAGCGGGATAATTATGTCAAGTTCCTATCTGGCACTGTGCAACCACTGCAGGAGCACTGGGTCCAGCTCACAATTTTTTTAAGAAGTTGATAATCTGGATAGAATTCAGACAACACGGCTTTGAATACTTAAGGGACTGGTAAACTTGTAAAGCCTCACAGGCTAAGTAGCTTATCAAGGAGAGGTCTGTGGGATGACTTGATGACAGGCTATAATTTTGTACTTAGTGAACACAGCTAAGTGCAGGCAAATGGAGAATGGGATCTGATGGCTGGAAGCTGAAGTTGCAGAAATTAAGTCTAGAAATAATTTAGAGATAATTTACAGTGAAAGCAATTAACCATTGGGACAGCTTATGACTTAAAGTCATTGCCTTTCAACCACTAGCAATTTTTAAATGAAAGCTGAATATTTTAAATGGCCCAGCTCAAATAAAATGTCATTTAAACGTGTCTGAAGGGTTATTTTGTGCTGTTCATGAGTGTCAGACTGGATGACCACAACGGTCTCTTTTGGCTTCATAATACAGAAATTAAAGCAAAATCTAGGTTAAATCTACATGGCTCAATGACGTAAAATACAGAGATATCCAAGAGAGCACAAATAACAGCACTGAGCAGTAGTGTGGGCAGAGCACTGTGATCAAATTAGCAGTGTAGTTTCTGATACCCAAGCTCATTCATTCAGCACAACACTGTGTTGTTGCCAGCCCTGATTTCCAGCCAGGATTCATTGGAAGGGTATTTTTTCCAGTTCTAGTAATATACAGCAAGCAGGCAAGTCAAAAGTATAAAGGGGATGGAGAAATTAGGTTTTGCAATGGTAAAACGTGTATTGCATGCATGCATTGGAGGAGGGAGCACATATAGCACAAAGCAGCTTAACTGGAGTCAGTAGTACTTCTACTTAAGTGCTGTTCAGTGTGTGAAGGAAGTACAGTAGGACCTTGCCCTAATCCATGCACTAACCTCTGTTTAAAATAAGTGCAATGATCTCGGATACTGCAGACATAAAGGAAGAAAAAGCTTTAGACGTAATACAGACATGGACAACAACAATATAAAAAAAGATTGTTCCATCACCGGAGCATTTTGAAAATTTGTTTCTGACATTTTCTTCAAGGTGTCCCACCTCCATCACAATAAATCTACCATCCACCCCCACCTTCTGAAAGACTTCTCACAATACTCCCATTTTCCCCATGCCCTTACGGCCCATCATAACAAAACCATGTGGTTTTTGCCTGTCTCTTGCCTATCTCTGGTTCACCAGCCACCCGAGCCCAGAGGCAGAGTGGGCTGAGGCATGCTGGGTGCACTCAATAGCTCGGGGCTGCTGCCGCTTGGCTTCTGCTTGGCTCAAAGGGAGCAAACCAAGAGCCAGGTAGGAGAGCTAATAGGCGATACTTATCTTAATAAACTTAATGGGCTTATATATCTCCCCTGACCCTGGAGGCACAGCTTATATTCACACCGTCGTACTCTGCTACCCTCCAAAATATCCCAGCCTCCTGTGGAGGGGCTGCAGGGTGTGATGGTGGGCTCACGCCGTGAGCCAAACTGCCTCCAGGAATTGTTTGGAGAGCGCGAGGTGGGGGCCACCATGCCAGGGACCATGCCAGCAATTTAGCAGGATATGTGGCCACGTGCCAGGGTCCAGGCCTGGGCGCTGGCACTGTTTATTTTAGTAGTGCAGACATACTGCTAGGGCTGCCCTCCTCCTGTGTTTTCACGTTTTGCTTAGAAATGTAATATCCTCTGTCAAATGGGACTGATCCTCACCAATGTGCTCAAAAGTTATTGGCAAGGAACTCCAGGCAGTCAGCGTGATCAAAGAGCCTTAATGCCTTAGAAAAATAAGCTAAAAATAAACAAGGTCTATGTATCATTTTCCAGCCAAGCTGGAAAGTACTTGTTCCAGGAGAGTTAACTGAAATACGGACTCTGTTATGCTGCAAAAGCTACCTCTCCTCAGACACGTCCTATGTCTCCAACTAACTGGAAAATCAGATGTCAATTTACTCTTTTCCTAGTTGTGTGGCAGCCAACATCATGATGAGAGGAAAATCATGCTGGGAGAAAGAACAAGACCAACAACAACAAACTGATATATTCTTCAAGGTTTGGGGTGCAAAAGGCTTCACAGTTAGTAGAATACAATCAGTCAAATCTATCTTGTAACAATAAACAATGAATCGCAGCTGTATAAAATGAGTTTGTTTTAAAGTGGGCATTCAAAGGCATATAATCTCCATTTGGTTTATGTTTTCACCATCTGTTTTTTATTCCTGACATTGTGGCTGTCATAAACTATGCAAAATATTTGATCCTGATACTCTGAAGAATCTGAGATTAGTGATGAGCAAAGCCCAGAAAGTTAATGAATTTGTACCTAAAGATTGGTTTCCCTAGAATATGCCAGCTATCTAGATCAGCCTGGTGCTCAGTGGATAAGTTTCCATTTGGCAAAATAAAAACACTGGTACCAGCAGCCTTCATGGCGTCCTCAGGTGAAGCAAAGGAATTAGTAAGTGGTGAGGGAAAACTTAACTTGTTACTTATTCAAGTCAAGGTTGAAGCAATTTGGCTGGGAAATTACTGCTTTCCTTGCCCACGTTACACTAGTTGGGTGGACAAGACTTCCTCAGTTCAGTGCAGGAAAAACACTGAGAACGTCTCAAGGTAAAAATTGCTTTCTTACCAAAAGGTTGCATCGTCTGTGTTGCCTTTTGCAATGATATTCTGAGGCAGAAGGTTTAATGACTCAGGGCCTGATCAAAACCTTATTGACTTCTGATCAGGAAGATAAAGAATCCAAAAGCATTAAAATTAAAGAGGAATTTATACGAATTTAAATTTTTTTTTTTCTTTTCAAAAATAGCCTTTTATGTCACCACTGCTGCTGGGTTTGTATGAACCTAGCTGCTTTGCCTAAAAGTTACAAAAAGATTTTTTTGATTCGTATATCACAAAAAGTTATTATTAGTTGTCAGAACGTTGCAGAAGTCACACTTTTAAGTTTTTGTGTTTTTTCTCTTATTTCAGGCTGTGGAACATTTACTTTTCTATCTTCTGCTGTTGCTGCTGTAAGTGGACTTCTGATGGGTTATGAGTTGGGCCTTATCTCTGGAGCTCTTCTTCAGATGAGCAGCATATTAGCACTCTCTTGCAAAGAGCAGGAAATCGTTGTAAGTTCCCTGCTTTTTGGGGCCTTATTTGCATCCCTTACTGGTGGATTCCTGATAGACCGATTTGGAAGGAGACTTGCTATAATTATTGCATCTTCTTTACTTGTGTTGGGAAGTCTGATTTTAGTCCCCTATGAATCATATGGGATACTTATTGTGGGACGGATTGCCATAGGTATTTCCATATCATTATCATCAATTGCAACGTGTGTGTATATTGCTGAGATCGCCCCACAGCACAGAAGAGGGCTCCTCGTATCATTAAATGAACTCATGATTGTGATAGGCATTCTCTTTGCCTATATTTCAAATTATGCATTTGCCAGCGTATCTCATGGCTGGAAGTACATGTTTGGCCTTGTGATTCCGTTAGGTGCTTTGCAGGCTATTGCCATGTATTTCCTTCCTCCAAGTCCTCGGTTTCTTGTCATGAAAAATAACGATGAAGCTGCAAGAAAAGTACTGGAGAGGCTACGGGAAACATCAGATGCTACTAAAGAACTTACTGTGATCAAGTCTTCCCTGAAAGATGAACATCAGTATAGTTTCTTGGACCTGTTTTGTTCAAAAAACAACATGAGGACCCGAATGTTGGTAGGACTCACTCTAGTCTTTTTTGTGCAAACAACTGGGCAACCCAACATTTTATTTTACGCATCGACTGTTTTGAAGTCAGTTGGGTTCCAGAGCAACGAAGCTGCCAGCTTGGCTTCTACTGGAGTTGGAGTGATTAAAGTGGTCAGCACAGTCCCAGCCACGGTTTTTGTGGATCAAGTTGGAAGTAAAACTTTTCTGTGTATTGGCTCTTCTGTTATGGCAGTATCGTTGGTCACTATGGGCTTAGTGAACCGTAACATACATGTGAATTTCACCAACGTCTGTAGAAGCCAGTCTCCAGAGGATTTCTTTCTCCAGAGACCGAGAAACCTCACTGGTGTCACCAATGGGAGTCTCAAGGACCTCTTTGCTAGCATGGCTTCACCAGAAAGATTGTCATTTGACGCACAGAGAAGCCCAGATGTTGCCAAGACAGGAGAACTGAACAGGACTGCCCTGGCAGGAGGCAAAAGCACAACAGGGTCTCAGATGGAAAGTGGGGAGGTTCCTGTTGTCCTGAAATGGCTCTCGCTGGCCAGCCTGCTTGTTTATGTTGCTGCATTTTCCATAGGTCTTGGACCAAGTAAGTGTTTCCTTTTTCTAACTCTTTGTAACGATTTACTTACAAGTGGATTAAGTGCTGGGATGACATGCCCAGCTTGGCATCAGGTGGTTCCCAAGTTGGGTAAAGCAGTGTTTTCTGCTCATATGCGCTGGTATTGTCACAGAGCATCCTGGTGGGCCTGGGGTGTACTTTTTAGGAAGAGGTCCTGCCCATTAAGGTCAATGGCCTAATCTCCCTTCAGTTCAGTGAAATTAACTGCTCCTCTTCAGTGAAGTTAAGAACTGCTGTGACCTTTGTACAGCAAAATTATGGGGCCCCTGGCTATCTTTCTTCTTCCTAGTCTATTGCATCCTTACACCAGGAAGGTTAAGATGTGGGCATTTGCTGCTGCTTACTCATAAACCCAAGATAATGATAAGCTCTAGACCTCTGTATGGTATGACACCATCAAATCCATGAAATGCCAGCATGCCTGAGTCCCGCTGAGGAGGCCCCCTGACTATATAATAGTCTTCAGATATAGGAAAGACATTCAAGGTATCATAGTTCATGAGCAAACCATAGTATCATTGCCACTACCTCTGCTGAACAGCACAAGTGGAAGAACACAAAGGCACGCCACTGTACAACTGAGGTACTGCAGCAGCTGCCACCACACTTGCATGATTCCCACTCTCTCCAGAGGAGAACATGTCTGCCATTCCCAGGGACTAGCAATTAAATCTCTCCATTTTGTTTTGTTTTGTTTTGTTTTGTTTTGTTTTGTTTTGTTTTGTTTTGTTTTGTTTTGTTTTGTTTTGTTTTGTTTTGTTTTGTTTTGTTTTGTTTTGTTTTGTTTTGTTTTGTTTTGTTTTGTTTTGTTTCGTTTTGTTTCAGTAGCACTGGCATATTATTGTACTTTGAAAGGGTTGATTTTTTAAGCCACGCTGCAAAACCCACATGCACAGAGTCTATTATTTATTAACAGACTTTATGTGCTTTTGTGCCCTGGCTCAAACTTGCCTTGCAAACACACTGTACTCCTGCTGCACTATTATGATAAAAAGCTTGCCACAAGAATACAACCCAACAATTGCACTAACAGCAACTCCCCTGCAGTATTTATTTATTTTAAACATTACTCACTGGGAGAGCAGCGTGAGATAAGCATTCATTGCCAGGGCAGCGAGCTTGACTGTGTTATTGCATTATTCTCTCCCTTGCAGAGCATCTTGGGGCTGGATTCTGCTTTTGATGACATAGGTTCAAAACCAGGGTTGCAGCCCTGAAAACAAAATGTTACCTGAGCTTTTACTTGGGTGTTTCAAACACACATTTAATGACCCTCAAGGCAGGGGCATGCGTTCAGGCTTGGCCTCCTGTTGAAAGCTGCTCTCCTGTTGACCTGGCTGTAAATGGGTTCCTGGTTATTTGAGTTGGCCTAATGTGAAGTTAATGATAATGACGTCTACTTCTGTGAGGGCTACAGAAAGTGAGGTGTGTCTGCCAGGCTAATCTGAGAAGTCTTTGAGGCCCGTGCTTGCTTTCTGACCTCCTTCTTGACTAAGAGCACGAATGCTCTCAAACAGCAAGTGGGAAAGATCAGGCACTGTCTCAGCTCCAGCATGCTGAAATTATGTATAATAAAGCCACGGTGAGGCAATTTAAACTGACAGATGCGTTGCATAGCAAGTGAAGGCCAGGTCTAGGAGAGATACAGGTATTTCAAATTGCAGATAAGTACTTTCAAGACATTTCCATGCTTTTAAAAGTACACTATTCAGTTAAAATTGACAATGTATAGAAAATGCAAGGGTCAGAGAATCAAGAGATTGTTGGAATCTGCAAAGGATCTATTGTGGTTAAATAGTCTGGGTTGGGACATGAGGTTATGATTTGTGTCTCATATGCAGCTTTCAACATCTGCTGCTTGGAGTCCAAATCCTTGAATGTATTTTAAAAGCCCAGCTTTCTTATTCTCAGTGTGCCTTTCTTAGTGTAAAGAAAAAAAACGAGCCACTCTGCTTATATAAAGTAAACAGTTTTAACGTGTTTATGTTACTGATCTCTAAATCTGGTCTGTGGTCTGGACCAGACTGTTAGCCATTGTCTACTCTGCAACAGGAGGGATGCATTGAGGCTGCACTCGCTGGCTGCTGTGGCCAGGCGATGCGCGGGTGCCTGGGGACAGAAGCACTGTAACCCCCCGCACCACTATATTTTCAATGCAAAAATCTCATACTCCGTGCGACCTCTGCCCATCCTGCTGGCTAAGGTGAAGGCGGTGCTGTGGATGTGTCTGTTTGTAACCTACAGATCAAATCAGCCTCTTTTGGACAAAAAGCAGAGAGGATCTTGCTCTTTTCCCTTCACCCCGCAAGGCCATTTCTGGAACAAATTCACCCACTTTATTTTGAGTCCACGCTGCATTATGTTCTGTGGGGATAAAGGAGAGTCTATGTAGCACCATTAGGAAAATGGCACACTCTTCATAGGGCAGATCACGCAACATGAGCTCTATCATCTTTTTCTTAATTACTTTGCCCTTTTTTTTTCCCTTCCTTTTTTGGGATTCTAGTCAAAGAATTAGTTACAGTCCAGATTTGCATAGCAGACATTTATAAACGTTGTATTTTTCCATGATTTCTCTTTTGTCTCCAAATTACATGAAGTAGATGGATTTTTAATGAACTAAACATATGCTAAATATATTTATTGCCATCTATCAGAACATCCAGGCAGCACAGTGATGAGCTCTCAAAAATAGACAGTGAGCGATAAAAGCCATTTTTGCATTATAAAAGAATTCACAGACTAGCAAGCATCTGCTTAGTCACGTTTTTGATTCTGGGGTGCTCTGTATTTATATCATCAATGCTTAGGCAAGATAAAAGGAGTATTTCTGCTGCTCTGTTTCGAATTAATTATGTTTGAGGAACTGTGATTCAACTGCTTGTTCACACTCAATTTCACACAATTATGAGGATGTTTTGTAGGTGCAACAAATCAGTATTGCATCACATCACAGAACAGCACATGCCGTCTCTCCAGGGGAGCTTGCAGAGGCATTTCAAGGCAGTTATTAGCTAAGGGACCTGCCTGACACCAATCGTTGTCTTGAGTTACCTTTGTCAGAGGTATCAGAAAGGTCAAACGAGGATCAACTGTTCTCACCAGGGAAAGATGCCTGCAGAGCCCAAAAGAAACCTCTTTCTGGCTGCCACCTGAAGGGTGAGGAGTGCGAGAGGGGCTCTTCATTGTTTTCAGCGCACGTTTGCAAGGAGAGGCATTCGAACCTGCGACTCTATGTGGAGGGAGGGACAGGAGAAATCTGAGCCTCGCAGAAATGCTGCTATGCCTTGCACAGGGAGCAGTGAGTGCAGGCTAATGAAATGAGCGGAGTGTGGAGGTAGATCACCAATTCATCACCCCAGCTAAAAGCTCAATGTGACCCTGGAAATTAATTTAACACAAAGGACACAGAGACATTCTAGTCAGGGCCACGACCACACATGACCACTTACTAAATGACACAGAGTTAATTGAAATAGTTGCAGAGCATCTCATTTGCCAGATGCTCTGTCCAAACCACTTGAGGGGCAAAAAATAGTGATCCTTTCTTATAAAGAGGTGTCACCTCACTCATCGCTGTTGTGTGGTACAACGTGTTGAGATGCAGGAACCAGGAAAGCCAAACTCCTGGAGTATCAGACTTATTTTCCAAAATAAGGCTGTAAATGTGGGACTCGGGGTTGGATGGAGCATGTGCAAGAGAGTTCTCTTGGTTAACAACTGTAGGGCAGCTCTAGCCTTTCTGAAACGGAGTGACTGCCCAGAGCCCTGCTGCTTTCCTCACAGACCTGATGAACAAGATTCAGATTCAGGTGTCAGATGGCACCCGTTACCAAAGATCTGCTTCTCTGCCCTGATCATCTCCTTTTGCATCATTTAGGATCAAAGACTAAATAGGGACAACTTCCCTCCATATTTTCCTATATATCCCTTGAATGAGGAGGTCTCACTAGGTGATCTCACCTACATAAGTAGCCAAAAGAGAGACAGTAGCACCATACACATTAATACAGGGATGCAGTGTGGTCTGGAGGCAATTCTCTTTATCGAACAAAAATCAGAGGGGCTCCAACAAATCCTAGGCTGAGAAGGAGGTAATGCAAACTCAGTCTGGACCCAACAGAGCATCTGTTTTCCCAGTCTGAATTTGTTCTAGCAAATAAAAAGCAAGTGAACAAAACAGGACTTGGGCAGTACCTCTTTACACATATTGTGGGAGTGCAGTTCAAGGGGATCCATGCATATCACAGGGATTTTTTGCTGTGGGGTGGGGAACACTTTTATTGAGAGGGGGATGTCGAATGCGTGCATTTGAACTGCATGTATGACATTGGTGCCTTGCACAAAAGAGCTCTTCCTCCTCTGTCAGTCCTTTAAACACATTTCTGTATAACTGCAATGGTGTTTAGGCAGTTGGCCAATGAACTTTGGGATAATCTGCTGGTGCAAATCACATCAGCTCCGCTGACATCATGGCATTTCATGCTGAACGTGCAGATGCAAATCAATCCCACCTACAAGTGGGATTGAGGGGCAGTTTCATGACGTGAATCATCCTCAAAACCATTTAGATGTATAAAGTCTGAAGGTATTTATGTCTCTGCCAATCCAGGACTGAAGATGTTCTATTACTGCATGTCCTAGAACAGCCGCCAGCTTTGTGTGGTGCTCCAAAGCCAAGGGCCGAACTCTCAGAGCTCTTCTCTTGGAGGCCATCACAGGCTCCTCTTCCAGGGGACTTCTCGGAGCTGTAGTGATGCCCCAGCCCCAAGCGCTCAGAGCCCACTTGGCACACACACAGCTGTGGCCACAACACACACCTGAGGCAGATCAGTGTCTGCAGCTGGAGAAACGTCTTCTGGGTTTCAGGGCTTGGCACAAAAAATACCACATATACCCATCCACGTAGATATAAAATCTAAAAATTATTTTTAACATACTTGTGGTCGACAAGTAAGTGCATAACA